GGGGAACACCGCTCGTGACCGGCCGCCAACTGGATTTGACTCCATTCACCGCAACTCTCTGGGCCCAGCCGTCCAGCCAGTTTTTGACCGCAGGCAGAGTACACCTGTCTATGCCGTGAGCCACCAGCTTCTTGAGGAGAATGGGGAGACGGGGAGACGGTGTCAAAGGCCTTACTGAAGTCCGGGTAGACCAGCCTTTCCGCCTTGTGAGTGCCCTCAAGATGAACCGCATCATATTTGTCACATACTAAAGTAGTACCACAGGTACTAAAAGGTACCACAGCCCACATACAGATGAAATCAGTCTTGCATAGACCTTACTGGAGAAGAAAGCCCATACCTAGTTCTGTGTGCAGTTTATTCCCCCATGCCACATTTAAAGTCTTGATTTTGCTAGCATTCTTTATACAAAATCTTTTAAATGTTTTTTTTTTTACTGTTTCATACCCACAGAACAGTATATGTGTGTATGCTATTAGAGTGGGTATTCATATACTGAGTAAAAAATTACCATTTTTGCTTGGCAGACACCAATATATGATAGTATACGTATAATAGCCATGAAAACATACCAAGTTGACCCTCATTAAATAACCCATAATGGTCATCCATAAAATATTCCTCATTACAAAGAAACAGACATATTTTGAAGGAATGTTTGTGAATGTGAGGCTATTGTTAATTGACTTGAAGAAATTTCCATTATGGGGGGACATTCCACAGGTGTTTCTATGGAGTTTACTGTAGGTTTCTATTGAAGTATTTTAGTCTCTCTTTGACAATGAAATATGCACAAAAGTATAAAAACTACTTGTCTTACCCTGTGTATTAAATTACTATGGCACTATATGTAAGAGCTACTTAAGAAGTTTATGTAAATTCCTTTTTAAATTCTTTCTCTATTTAATAGATATTAAAAATTAGTTTTAACTTTGGAAATATAGTTTCCTGTGCTCTTGATCATAATTTAAGAATTATGCTCCCAAATCTATGCAAATTAATTATTGAAAAGATAAAATTTAATATCCTAAATATAATTTACTAAAACTTACGATATCATATAAGTGTATATTTAAAATGGTAAAAATGTACTGTACATGTAGTCTTCACTGTAGGCTTTTTTGAGAATGTTGCTAGTGAGATGAGAATAGTGCTGTTTTATGATACATTAGCACTGATGCAAAATTATAACTATAGAATAAGAGTTGTACTGTTGGCTTCCACAGGCTTGTTCTGTGAATAAGATCTTTCAGAATGAGTTATCAATAACAATACTGTTTTGTTTCCTAAACTGATATTTTTTGAAGTGTATGTATGAAAGAGATGTATAGAGAGAACTAGAGGTCTCTACCTATCTAAAATTAAACTGCTAGGTGTAAATTAGTCTACCACACTTATTATCTGGACTTCAACAGTAATTGTAGGTTGTGTCAAAGGCTGGCTGAAGAATTTCTTCTCTAAGCTTATTAGTTGGAAATCACAGAAGAGGAGAAGACTTTGTGTTCTGACTGTTTAAGAGAGGAAAAAGGAACCCTAGACGCACTTGGTGAAGTACTTCCATTAGAGGTAGGGAAGTACAAG